AAAGGGTGAACAAAAGAACTTTCTACAGCTTTTAGTTAAAAACAAGAGCTTTACGGGTATGTTCAGTCGTTAAACGTTAAATGTGTGGAGGTGCCTTACAATTGTCAGCCACTGCGCACTGTTAAAGCAACAAACACGAACAAACTTCATATACACGCGGTGTATATACATCGTGTTGCATCGTGTCGAGCTCTCATCTCATTAAACATTCACGCGTCGTCCGTTTGTTGTTGTACGCCCGGGGTTTCCAGAGCCGTCGACACGGAAGGTCGCCGAGAACTATCATTTTTTTTTATCATCTTATCCAACAAAATAACACGAAATGCGATCATTATGGCATGACACGCTTTGCTGCAGGGTATACCGACTCGAAATGGTATAAAATGAATAAATTTGTGCCGATATCCCTCGCTCCGTGTTGCCAAAAAAACGAGGTACATCTGTTGTAGCATTTCTACCCATTATCTGTTGTCTGGTGTAGTTGGCCAGGGGGAGATAGCGTCTTCCCCATATGTTGCCCAATTTATTTTGATTTAGCCTTACTTTTAATTGTAATCGATAGTCTTAATTCATTAATATTGAAAAAAGGCAGACTGCAGATGAGGAATGATGAGTAGACCCAGTCTTTATTATTCAGAGCACGGTAACCAATCCTGTGTATTTTTCCCCCCATTTCTGTCGTCTGCTGAAAATGTTTTTTTTTTTTCTCTCACAATTTTGGGCCAGAAAAGTCTATTCGGTGACAGTACCTTTTACTTTAGGTGTACCTCTGCAATACGCACGCCCAAGGCACGTGTGTCGCTGTGCTTTGTGTGTGATTCTCGTGAATCAACGTGCGCGCGAATTTGATTATACGCGTACGCGGCCCACCACGCATTAATGTGCACATTGATACCAGGGGACCGGGATGTGAGACGGTTGTTGCAATCGGTTGCTTGATCACGCATTATGTTTCGTAGAATGGCTCGTTAACAATATTGAATAAATTAGTTTAAATTAGTCCCTCCTAATTCAGTCACTGGTCGTGTTCGCACGCGCCAGGGTAGCTCTCTAAAACGACCTCCCGAGTCCGAAAAATGTTGATAAAAAACAAGAAAACCCGATCAAGAAACGGAATCAACGCCGTGAATTGTAGGTTGCGCGCACGCCATATCCACCTATCAGCAGTCAGCTCGATGTAGCGAAGTACGACAACTCAGCGATACGGTAAAATAACTGTGTTGTCACTACACGACTCATAAATCGAACAGGTCATCCACACACATGTAAGCTACAAAGGTGTCGTTTTATTGGCAAATAATTCACTTTGGACGAGCTTTTAATTGCAGCCGATGTTAGGAGGCTTTCCCAACGCAGATAAATTGACATTTATGGCATATTCGTTATAAATCAGTTGCGTTGTTGGTATTACCCTTAGCGGTTAGCTTCCTTAACCCACATCTCGCACAACAGTGGACATTTTTACAACTACGTGCGAAGTTAGTGAGAAAACAAAAAATGGAACCCTTCACCCTATACATAGATTGATGAATTACGGAAGAAGTTTATGATCAACAAAGAGAGTTACCGAAACTTATACAAATTCCAGTTATCTTGAGGCAGCGTGATGTCTGCGGGCAGTGTGAGGGCGGGCGTATACCCTACAATGATAGCTGGCATCGTTTAATCGTCTCTGTCGAACGACGCTCAACTGTAACACAGCGTGTTTTCACATCGTGTCGGTGGCTCGGGTATCGAATCCACAGGTAGACACTACGTCGTAATCGCTGGTGATCAGTGGCGATCATACGCCGTCACTCCCACGGGCAGGATGTGTGCCTTCTTATCTGACGGGTAGATGTCAGAGTATGCTGTGTCAGTGGACGATAATACGACGGTAGGATACACAGAAAGAGGGGAGGGTCATTGAGGTTACACGGCCAAAAGCGCAGCTGCCGTGGCAAGGCTATTGACACACACGCGTACCCACGCACGCACAATAGTGCTAGTATTGTTGATAGAAAAATATGCTCTAATCGGGTTTACGCGATACAGTTCACAACGTGCCTACATTAATTTTACAACTTTCGCAAGTTGCGCCACGCCGCGTTCAACTGCAAATGAGAGTTCGTGACAAAACCACGTTTGTGATGATAGGCGTGGCATAGTTATTGAAATTTCGCTAGTTCCCTCCTCTGTACGCCTCTATCCCATGCCCCACTCCATGTGCATTTAATCTTTTTATCAGCACCTCCGCATTTCTCCCTCTCTTTAACCCCCCACCCCCACCCCTCAAAAAAAACTCCGCAAATTGCATCGGTGCTATCACCACGACAGATAAATGGCGGGGTCGACACATCCACAAATAAGACAGGGCGAACGTGGCCGATCCGTGCCATGCAAGTTCAACAATGGAAGCCGCTTCTGGTCCATTTAACTTTCCGAAAAGTCAAAATCGGCAAAACATGAGGCGAGTATTTGAAATAAAGACTTAATAGTTCTTGACTTATGCCTGATTAGTTTCTGACTAATGCCACGTTAAATTAGAGAGAGGGCTTGATGAATAGAGTCTTGTCAATGAGCTGAGTAGGGGGTACGATATAGAAATACGCCATCTTGAGCCGTACACACTGTATTGCAGAAACTGGACAACGCTTATATGCTTGTTGCTTTCATTTCCCTTTCAAAATAAGCATCAAAACAGAGATTCTGTAATATCTAAGTTTTCAATGAATTGAATTAGACCTCAATCAAATTTATAAGTCCAAGTTCAGTTAATTATTTAATAAAGTAGCCTGAATTCACACCGCAGTGATCGTTTGGTTGCAATAAAACGCGCAGTTATCAAGTTTTCGAACTCTTTATCGCGCGTTCTGACAATCTTAATACAATCGGCGCAGACAGAAGATGCTACTGCTACAAAGAAAGTTGCTATCTGTCAAGTGGGTGTACAGAGGGTTAATACTACCACAGCCATATACCACAAGACAATAATAATACTATGTGATTTCTATAAATGCCGGCATATCTCCCCCCCCCCCCAGTATGTGTATCTACTGTTTCCATATTAAACCATATACTAGTACTATCCCGCGCATTGTTCTTTGTCACGTGAACCACAGACTATCTAGCGACTGCTTGGAAACCATCACGGCATAGGCAGACATGTTATGATTCAATTAAAGAAATCGATGGATCAAACTTGCCTGCTGCGTTCGAGATAAGGATGCATGGGACGCAAAAAAAAAAGATGGATGCGAATTTGTTAAAAAGGAGGAGCCTCCTTATCTCTGACTTACGACGTCATTTTCAGGAGTATCTTCTTGATGTATCGCTAACTTCTAAAGCTGGTCCAGCATTAAGGGATCTTCCGTCGACTCCATCTTTTAAGGGGGCATTCAGCGAACACAATAAGTCGCCAGTGTTCTTCTGACGACGCGTACTGGTGATTTCAGACAGCTTGTTTCTGCTCTAGCCCCCACGGTTTGACCCCCGCAGTGAAATGAAAACCGCGTGGTGTTATCGACATCTTCGCAGTTGACAGACAAGTAACAGACTTCGCACGTATACGTGATGTGAAAAAAAAGGGGGGACTCGAATTACACAGAACACAAAGTTCAATCGCAGCTCTAATCACGATAGCCGATGATCTGTACGCGAGTATTCGCGAATAGCCGAATAAATTTGAAACATTGTGACATTACAGTTAAGCAGCGGTGTTCGATTTATGGCTTTGGCCTTGACAAAGCACACGCTGTTAGCCCGTCGTCCCAGAAAATGCAGATAAAAGAGAACACAAGATTCCATTCGCAGTACCAGTATACAATACAGAAGTGTGTATACCAGCACAAAACGAAAGAGTATTAAATAGTCCCATAATAATAATAATTTCAGCGAGCTTTCCCGGAGTTTTGTGATTTCTCTGACTACACATGTATATATGCGTTCGTTTGTCCGTCTGCACCTACACCAACCGTGGCTCTGGCTGCTCTGAACGCCATTGCCACTTGCATCTTTCACATGTTTATGTATTTTGTTTAATCTCTATATATATTTGAATTTAGGATCACATTTTCAGAATCTCGTACAGCATTTGTGGCGAAATATAGAAGAAAAATCATTGTACAATATTTTTAATTTTGACATTGCAATTCAAATGGTTGCATGCTAGCCTGGCTAAGTCTTTCAGACGTAAACACTCGCTGTAAGGATGGAAACTGTATTCGGTTATTATTACAATCATTTTATGAGTGTTCTGTTAATAGAACCGCGGTGATTTCGATTCGTGAGTGTTTTATCTACAATACAGACATCCACGGGTAGTAGGGATAGCCTCCATGCGAAAGCTACACACAGTCAATAACATGGGTCATCATGAAGTACATCACATAATTGCATTGCCTAGCCTGAACGATTCTTAACTTCGTCGTTAGTGTTGAATTGTTTTGAACAACAGATGAAATAATACTGGGTGCTTGTGATGTTTAGGAATGATTTACATCATGTTCTTGGGCTTAGAGAAGCGAATATCGATCGATTCCTCGCACAGCACGCAGCGTGCACCGTGTACGATCGCCATTTTGTTTTATGCAATGCGACCTGGGGCATGCGATCGCTGATTTTATTATAGCGATGTTGACATAAAATTACAAAATAGAAGCACGATGTTAATGTAGATTTTCAAGTATATACATATATATATTATAAATAAAATAAAAATGATTGATGGTTTTGTCAGAAAAAATATATGATCAAATTGCCGTACAGAATTGATAAATGTACTATACGTATTTGTGTCGTGTATCAACTCAGGGAGAAACGATGGAGTGCGACAAGCCGTGTATTTGTATTCGGTACACGCCGTTCCAATGATCTCTCTCATTTCCAGATCTAATTTTCCAGTACATTTTAATACGGTTCTTCAATCATGGTAACCGGGATATTTAATAGGCAACACTGCCGTGGGATTTCGCCGCCAAAGCCTTCGATTTTGCTCGCAATTATTGGCGTTTTTTTTTTTTTTTTTTTCAGCTCGCTAGACAGTCGAGTTGATAACGCAATAAATGTCCACACCCGGAAACCAGTTGAATAAATAACCGGGTTGCTCAGTTATAAACGAGTTATAGCATGTATATTAAAAGTACGCGCCGTAATTTGAATTCGTTGCCTTCCAAGACTATATTTGTCAGTTACAAACAGAACTGTGAAACCCCCAACGCGGGACCTCACCGTTGACACTGAAACTGAAGATACACACAATTCGACGAACATTTGACTAAAAACACTACGTTGCCATGGTTATAGGTGATTAATCACCTCATTCACGTTGTAAAATCTAGAAAGCGACACACAAACACACTCTATCGGTTCTTGTTCTCGGCGGATACTAACCGCCATTACAGCCTCCATATTGATGCAACGTGGGCTAAAACCATCCAACATCACGGGCAACGAATTTCCTTGTTTATAAAACCAAATCGTATGAATTAATGACATATTAACACTGAACAATATCAGGGCCTGAATTATGAAAAAATAAAAACATACTCAATCATATATTAACGCTCTCAATAACGTGATTCTACGATTGTTACATTGCCATACAAAAACAGCAGCATATAGACAGTTTAAAGTTTAAATCAGGCTACAAACGTCGTTCACTTTTTTTTAATAAAGCACAAAATCGTTCATTCTCTTTGTGCTGGTATTCAGTTGTTGAGTACCTAAGTTTCTAGGTCATCAAACACATTAAGACGACAATGACATAATTAGGCCAACTATATCTATATACAAAATTAAAGACGATAGCAACATTTCAAGTAACCAAAAATATCAATAGTACTGGGCATAGATTCAATTTTTGACAATTTATTGCATTAAGTTTTCAAAAAAAAAGTTTTACATTTTCTACTGACGTCAATAAATTAATTGAAATTTGATGAATAAAAATAAATTGAAATTATAACTATATAGCTCTTAAAATACCCTGTGCAAATCGGTGGACTAACCCAGTATACGAACTTTTGTTCTTGTTGCCATGAAAACTTCGAAAACAGTGTCTGCATGTCGGCCATTTTTCCTTAAAAACCGCGTTTTAACGGAGGGTAGTTGTCGCCATGCACGACACTGACTCATTGTACAGAACTTCGGTATAAACAAACGACATGTATACGGTTTCTAAACGTACCCTGATAGCCGTATGAATGTTTTGGTCAAAGAAACAGCAGAAACCAAAACAATTGAAGAACTCGAATATCTAAAAAAAAAAGGTTCCAAATTAAAATTGAACAGCATTTCCGACATAGTACGGATGGTGATTACTAGCAGCTCTGTAACTGTTGTAAGTAAAAAGACTAGAAGGGGAGTGGTCGTCGTCACCATGGTTACTTGATATTACTAAACGACCGTTCCCAGAGAATGTAGTCCTGTTGTCGGTAGCAGATCGCTGATGCCCATAGCCTGGAACGTTTCTAAAAGTCGGCGAGCTAGTGTCGTATTCTGCTGCGGCCATATTGCCCACGTTTCCGTGCGAGTCTCGCCCGAGGTAACCGTCTGTGTGTGGAGCGCTAACGATGACACAGTTGTTGTTGGCAGGCTGGTAGTTAAAACTGGTGTACGTCTCAGGGTTTCTGTGAATGGGTGCAGCTGACGACGCGAAGTTGAGTGATGGGCTAGTCGGAGAGACGGTATTAGCACAACACACATTAGAAGTGAATAGATAGGGCTCCCTTTGCTTACCATCGTCGTTACTGGTGACACACGGGGTCGATCGGCTGTCAGGTGAAGGGGACAGTCCATTCACATTGCCATTAACTCCCTGTTTACCCTGATCTGACCCAGAAGGACTGCTAGTCGCACTAACCATCGAATTCTGAGTCTCGTTATTCGGAATCGGGCTCCCTGAGACCGCAGCTTTCATGATCTGTCTCTTGTGTTTCATTCTACGGTTTTGAAACCAAACTTTCACTTGTCTCTCCGACAAGTCGAGCATGGAAGCGATCTCAATTCGACGAGGCCGGCACAGATACTTGTTGTAGTGGAACTCTTTCTCGAGCTCCAAGAGTTGAGTGTTTGTGAAGGCCGTCCGTACTCGCCGATGATGCCCCGCTTCTTTGCCGTTAACTGTGCCAAAAAACAGAAACAAAATTAGTTAGGGGGGTTGAGAAATTCAAGACACCTAAACCAAAATGGCGACCGACCTGCTTTGGCAATTTTTTTACGTCTGATAAGCATCTATTGTTCAGTGTCTTATTTTCACGGTATTTCGTATTTTCCAACTTTCCTTGCATATTTCACGCAACAGGAACCATTGCTCAAAAGTACCCACATTCTGTCGATTTCTAGAGTTAAAATTAACGCTAAAATCGAACGACATTAATCGCATTCATTCTCTCGGGGTAAACAGAATTGAAAGTTGTTGGCGAGAGCTTTTAACTACCATGGCCTGTCATCGAGACTGTGATGTACCACAGTTTACAGAGTCAAAGGTCATAAAATGACGTCAAAAACAACGATTTAGAAACAAATAAACTGAAGGCAAGAAGAGTCCAGGTGACCCAAATCTGCTCTATTTTATACGAATAAAAAAATACTTCTTTATAGCACACTCACCGCTTTTGTCGTCGCCTTCCTCGTCTGTCTTTGAGCAAGGTTCCTCTACCCAAGGGTATTCCGGCAACTTGACGGATGGAACATGGTTGCTTTTGGTTTGGAGCGTGTGCTGGAGTTCCGGAGCTGAGCAAGTCGTCTGGGCACATGACGAGATGTTCACAGAGTTCTTGTCGGTTGCAGATGTCGAATTGTGCGTGATTGATTGCGAGCAGTACGTCGACTCATTGATATTACGACCCACACTTGTCAGAAACTCCGCCATACACGGCTGAGTATTGATAAAGCCAAGTTCAAGTCCCCCGTCCATTCTACGCACAGGGTGAAATTTGTGTCAAGAACTCTGGAATCCGTAAACAACAGGAGCGATTTTTGCAATTGGCGAGTTAACTTTGACTATGGTGACTCGGAATTAGAAAGTTAGCAAAACATACTCCCTGTCGGTGACCACTTAATGCTCACGTGGTAACGCAACCGCCAATCAGATAACGCGTACTATGATAGGCTCGACGCTGGCATATTTGAATATTTCAAACGCTTACCATCCCGGTCCATATGGTGTGAATGAATGACGTCAACAGTAAAAAATAATTTCGAATAAATATCAATTTGGCGAATCCACAAAATCCAAAAAACTGACTTTTCGAAACTGGTTTCTGGTACATATATTTTTAAAACGACTATTTTCAAAACGTGAGCCGGCGATTTATGCGGGATGGCACTGGGCGTTTATAAACGCCTCACAAATCATATTGTCAAGTTATTTTCGTGACGTCTTAGCGTTTAATGACCCTAACCGACCAATATTTTCACACTTAACCATTAGAATCTGACAGTCGTGTTTAAGCTTCACCATAGACACGTAGTGATGGCATTATTTAGTCACGAATGCACTGTCAACATTGCAAATCTCTAACCGCAAAGTCTCATCCCGGGACTGGGTTTCCTCAATGTTAATAAGGTGGGTCCAATATTTTCAAATATTTATCTAATCTTGGACACGCTGGTTTATTATATGTGTCTTTTGTCTTAGCATTTAATAGGAAAGACTTTAAAAAAACATCCTGGTCTGTTTATGACCCTGATTATTGGAAGGAACATGGACGCCCCACTGGTGAAAGCTCGGGAGCTCCCACTGCGTCGCCGACACATTCTGGGTATGTTATTGTCAAGGCATTCCTACTACTTGACCGTTACTCGGCGCCCCGGTATTTGTTGTACTGGCTTGGTTCATCATCCGCCACCCAATTTAAAATGTGCAGGTCTCTGAAAGTGACCAGGGCATTCAGTACAGAACCCCGGCTAGTAATACCAAACACTTTCTTAATCGACCCTCAAAATGTACTAAACTGGACGCATGAAGGCATTTTGAAGAATGCGTACTATGGCTATCTCTCGCCACGCCAGGATACTTAACCCGTTTTCTACCCATTCACATTGCTTTGCACCGAAACTTAACATTAACGCCGTATTTTGTTTTCACAATACAAACGTCATTTTCAATTCATAACAAAGCAGCAATCATTGATAAAAAAAAATCACACTTTCAAATTAATATCAAACGTGGTGGTTGTCACAAATCGCCGTACCTTTTAAAAAAACCGCCCTGCACCGAGCGTGTGTAAAAGATTCAATCTTGACGGTAAATCGGCCCCACCATCTGCTGCATCTATGTGCCGATCACTTGTACACCGGGACAACTAGCAGAATACAGTACCCAAGTCCATTTCGTTTGTAGTTACACACCCTGAAATGGAACAACCTCAAGTGTAAATTGAAAACAAAAATGCACTTATCGCAAAGGGTGCAGAGGCGCATTTCACAACACCGCGTACTACAAATGGAATACAACCTAGGATTATGACATTTCCATTATAGATTTACTTTAATTCCGATATGAAAGGTATTTTTGTTACAAAATTGATCAGTCTTTTTTCGAGAAAGAAAAATGACTGCAAATTGGGTCTTTAGGGAGTCGTCCATCATTCATTTCATAGGTACGTCTACAACTGTTTAACAACGATATCTTTTCAATTGTACACGCAGGCAGAGTTATGTGCGTAGATCTCACCCAGCCCAACACCAAATCTGTCAGATATGAAAACCCACAAGATGCACCGAGAGCTAGTTACTCTCAATACGTCCCAAAGGACTGTGCCGTGTAAGTACACTGATATATGCGGTACACTGTCGTCGTACGAGTCGCCGATAACATACTAGAACGATCGGCAGAACACGGGTGCGATACGCACACAACGCAACCTCTACGCGGCGGAGTAGTTTTTCAGGATTATGAAAACTTTAACGGCGAAGAAACAACTTTTAGCGGGGAAATACACAAAAACACTGAATCATAGATTGCGCAAGCGTTGTCTATTTTTATTTTATTGTATTATGAAATACAAAAAGTGAATATACTCTCTCAAAATTCTTTAGCTTTTTTTTTGCAATTAGAAAATATAGTATTTACGTTTCATTCATGGCTTCTATAATTGCATGACGATCTGTTATATGAGTATAACACATGTCGATATCCTGATTGTTGGACATATGGATGTTCGTTTCGATAATCTACACTGAGCATAACGATGTACATTTGTCCCCACTAATCACCCAAACAAACGGACATACATTTACTTCTGAATCTCTATTGTATGTTCGACTTTTCGACTGGAATCAAATTTTATTTTTTAATTTTCTCCAAGCTCGTTAAGTTTATGAATCATACCAGATGTTTTGAAGTGAGAAAAAAAACGAATTTTCAAAAAACGTACTCTCCACTGTCTACTTAGAACAGTGAAAAAATGTTTTGACCACGCCGTGTATCTTTTAAATTTTTAGCAAAAAGACTAATATGGCGTCACTCCTTGAGTATGCGAGCACGGTTTAAATGCGTGTACTGTATAGTCGTAATCGGCGGGAAGATTTTGTTTTAATTATCTTAGAAAGTAGCAAACTGGTGCATTCAAAACAGGTTCATTTTGTTGAGAGTTTCTCATGCACAATACTTTCCAAGTCGGCGGAATGACTTCAAGTCTTTTGATTATAGAATCACAACGAGTTCACCGATCAGTAACGCATCAATACAATTCTCGATTTCGTCAAGTAACCAGTATATTTGTCAGTTTTGTTAACGCTCAGACACCACATCCAATTCCGTGCACCAGTCAAACACAATCTGTTTTAATGCATTTACACCGAAGTACTTGGTTGATTAAGCTGCTTTTTGCATATATGACATCATAGGAGGTATACTTGATGTGATGTTTTATCATTTATATATATATATATATAAATAAGAGTCAGATACACAAGAGTACATGCAACGCGGATAAGCAATGAGCTCGAGAAAGTGAGTACATAATATTAGCTTGACCGTGTACGGGCATAGCTATCGGGGACACGGTTAACGAATTTGCTTCTCCATGACCGTTAAACACACTGTAAGTCTTCGCTAATTCTGCCCACGTCGGCTGTTACGTATCATAACACTCTCCGATTATGTGTGAGCAGTAATTCCACCCATGCTGAAAGTCTACGGAATCGCATAATAATAATGGCATGTCCGGTCATTTAATAGGGACATTTTAAAAGAAAATGGCGGTTAACTGTGATCAATGTAAACTTCGAATCTGAGTGTTAACGCCGAGATCTAAACAACGTGTACATAGAGTGTTATCCCTGCAAGTGTTATACCTACAGGCCTCAACAAATATATAAATTTTAACCTCAAGTGGCTCTGTAATTTATATCATATTTAAACTTCTTACACATGTAAATAGTATTAACGTTCACTAATGCCCATATAAGGAAATCTCATTATGATTTTAAACCGTCAACAAAATCAAATTTCTATGACTGAGACAAGGAGATTTTCTGTCTTCTGTCGATGTCCGCAATTAAATGAATAATAATAATACTCTACTGAAGTCGTATCCAAAAAATGGACATAGATCTAAGTACAATAAAGCATGGTTGTCATTCCATGTTAGAAACATTCAGAATAAAAAAAAGAAGATACCATAGTAAAACAAATAATAAAAATAAATAAAAAATAAAACAGTAAGATATAACATGATATAACGAATCAATAACTCAATGTCGGAGTCTATATTCGCATTCTAATATCGACCAATCATATTGTAATATTCCATTACAAGTTACGGGGTGTACAACAGAGTAAGTCTGGTTGGTTCTTACTCTGATAAGCTACCCGAGTACTTGTGTATTCTGTATATTTGTATAATTAGTCAACATAAAAAATGAGGTCATTGTTCTATTTTTCTTTCAAGTTGATCTTCACACATTTCCTAAATTCGATCATTTTTCTTGAATCGAATCGATATTATGAAATTTTTTGTATTGTCTTAGTAATTAGTTTGTCACAGTTTTTTTTTTTTTTTTGGCTGAAAAAAAATCACCGCGACAAAATCCAACTATTTGTTGTCATATTATAACAGTATACGTTATCATCAATATAACCACATGATCGATACTGGTATGGCGCAGTCACCCATGCTCGAATTGTAATAACTTATTTGTTGTTATCCGGAATGAATTACCACGACCTGATTAAATTTTCATAATTGGAATCTTCATTATATAACATTTTTTTTTCAATGAAACAAACATCATTTAGCTGTTATGTTCCCGTTATTACTATTTCATTTGAACATGCGTACAGTAACATCGACATAAAATTCTTATTTCTGTTGAGATAAAAAGGACATTCAATTTATTCTAGTTTTGACCATTATAGTGAATGTACAGTAAAACACGTCATTTTAGCTAGCATCTCATTTTAGTTAGTTTAGCAAACCTGTAATTTCAAGATGTCGCTAATTTAAAATAAAGTATATTCTCACAATGAGATTGTTGGCATTTTAGCTAAATTCAGATTTTGTTAATTCACGCATTGAGTCAAATTCGCTAAAATGGCATGTAGCTATTTCATTTGTGTTTAACGGTACTCTTGTGACATATAGTACGGTAATGCTTATTGTGAGTTCACATCATCCACAATAAAAAGGGAATATTTTGACCAAATGGGTGTTCTAGATGACCGTATTCTGATCTCAATACTGTTATCGCAAACGTCTTTGTGTGCCAGAGCGTTGGCAATATGCTTTTAGATTGGAGTGAAAAGGAAAGCGTAAATTGAGGATCAATGAAATAGCTGGTGAAGTGATCGCCACGGCTGTGACCAGGCGTGCTCCTAATGGACCGTAATTAAAGTTAATGAAATTAATCAGCGATAATGAGAATAACTTTTGGTGTTCGGATGACTTTTCGTGTTTTTTTGCCATTCTGAAATGTGGCGAATGTCGAGAGATCGGCATGGCCGTACGCGCCACACAAAAGTAGAGTAAATAACGTGGATTGTAATATACAATATGGCCTGGGGAGCCCGTTTCCCGGTGATGGCTGTTGTAGAACCGCCGTTTAATTGAAATCGTATGACTTCTGTTATGAAATAAAGTGTACTAAAATTGTCGCTCATTTTTGTTAAGTAACCCGGATCGCATATTGTCATGACTATGAATTACTATATGATGCGTATTCACAAGATCTTTCAAACTTAAGTAGAAAGAGAAATATAAAGAGATTAAATATATAGAAAAGGGGAAAATCAGCAGCTTGAAAAATTAAATTGACCGTATCAGTAGTTGACTGTTTTGTATAAATCCATAGAAAGAGAGATATTACTTTATATTCGTATAGCCTATGGAACTAGGTTGAATACAAAGTTGTGATTGGAGATCGTATTTACTTATATGTGCCAGTTTTGTCGCTGGGTATTAAATCTATTGAAAATTGAAGGTCGTATGCTATCTCAAGAAGACCGTCAAACCTATGATCGTCACTTGACCGCCATGAAATACACTCAGTTTATTTTGATTATTCTCAGTGTCGATGTGACAGTTGAGCCTCGGAATTTCACAA